GGGGGGGGGGAGTGCGGGGAAGGGGCGCGTAGGAATGTCCTCTGCCTATTGGTGGCGCTAAAACTTGAATTGCTATTGCATGAGTACATTTACAGCCTTTTCTGCATCTTGTTTTTCCTCACTTTTTTGTGTAATGTTAAGAAAGAAGACTATCTGATGTTTATATATTAAAAATGCTCTTTAATTTTTAGAAGTATATGCAAGAGGCAAGAAGCTTAGGAAAAAACCTGAGGCAACCCAAATTGTCAGACCTCTCTCCTGCAGTGATTGCACAAACCAACTGCAAATTTGTAGAAGGCTTATTAAAAGAATGTAGAATGAAGGTACGTATTATTCACTGATGTGAGACAGTATGCACTCAACTTCCACTTGGACTGGTAGATTTCCTAGAAGAAAACTTTTACTGGGGCATAAAGCTAACGTTCTCTTTACTAAGCTCATGAACTTTCATAGGTTCTCCAGTGCCAACAGAATCAGTGACATGGGAGCCCTGCACAGTTTTTCCTCAACCTTTTCAGCCATTGCTGTCTTCCTCTAAAACATGAACAGATATTAAGCCAGTCAAAAGTTGTAGGGCACTGGCTGGCTGAGTTGGTAGAGCATGCAACTCTTTGGGGACTTTTTGTTTGTTTGTTTGTTTGTTTTGTTTTGTTATTTAGAGAGAGAGAGAGAGAGTGAGGGGAGGGGCAGAGGGAAATAATCTTCCAGCAGCCTTCTCACTGAGCACAGAGCCCAGTGCGGGACTCAATTTCATGACCCTGAGATCATGACTTAAGCTGAAATCAAGAGTTGGACACTTAACTGACTGAGCCACCCAGGCACCTGGCACATATGACTCTTAATCTCAGGGTCATGTGCTTGAGCCCCGTGTTGGATGTGGAGCCTACTTTAAAAAGTGTGCAGGAATGTGGTTGTTTTATATGAAAGGTAACACATTTTTTTGTATAGAACCTTGTCCATGCCCATACATGTATGTATACCCATAAGGAAGAAGACCTTAACTGTGTTGTAGGTTTGTGTATATTACACACTAGTCTCTTCTTAGATACCATGTTTATCAAAGGTAGTAATACAGATTGACAAAATTCAGGACATCATTTTAGCCAGTAATTTCATTCTTTTATTTGACGGTCATTTCTTGAGTACCTTCTGTGTATTCAATAAATGCACTATTTTCAGCAGCAGCATACAATGTGGAGTCAGAGAGACAAGGTCCCCCACCTAAAGGAACTAGATTCTCTCTCACTTTACATTTTATAAGTACAGCTGAGACTGCTGTAAATTACTTACTTGAAACTGATTTCCATTTCCCTTCCATTTTCTGGTGCATACTCATGAGCAGAGACAAGATAAAGGAGGAAAACAGGAAGTAAATAGAAGCCCGGTTCACTCACAATTAGGGAGTTCTGAAAAAATTTAGAGCTGCCTGTTTGTGTTGTGGTTTTTGCCTAAGTGCAGTCAAAACTAACTGCAGATATCTTTATGCCTAGATACAGGGGCAGTGGAGGGTCAGTTGTGGCAGGGTGGGATTCCGATTCTCAGTACATTTTCTGGGTCTGGTGTAATTCCCCAGTGTTACTCAAGTTAGTAAACTGAAAATTGTCAATCATTAGTGTTTACATGGGGATACTTTAAAATGGTGTTATGGGGAAGCAAAATATAAATAGGTAGGTAGGTAGATAGATAAAATAGTATCATAATCGCCCCCTAGTGACTCCCTAATTATCTGACAAAATACTAAAAGTACATGTGATATTACTGCAGTTAGTTGACCACAGAGATTAAAATGCTTTTCCAAAAGTGATTAAAAGTCTACAATTAGAAGTATATGAAGGGAGGCGCCTGGCTAGCTCAGTTGGTAGAGTGTGTGATATTTGATCTTGGGGTTGTGGGTTCAAGCCCCACGTTAGGTATAGACATTACTTAAAAATAACATCTTCTTAAAAAAAAAAAGTATAATGGAGGGAAGCCTCTGATCTAGTGGTTGAATTGTTGGTCTTTGGCTTCATTGCGGGGATAACACTTGTGAACACACATGATGCTTTCAGACAAAGCGCATGTTGGTGGAGAAGATGGGACACGAAGCAGTGGAACTGGGCCATGGAGAAGCAAACATAACCGGCTTGGAAGAGAACACCTTGATCGCCAGCCTCTGTGACCTACTGGAAAGGATATGGAGCCACGGCTTGCAGATCAAGCAGGTAATAGTCTCAGGAGGCCCTGGTGATGTGGCTGGTTAGGGACCCTGTCAGGAAATGTAAGGAGGGGCACCTGGCTGGTTCAGTTGGTTGAGCTTCTGACTTTTCAGCTCAGGTCATGATGTCAGGGTCATGAGATCAAGCCCTGTGTTGGACTCCATGCTCAGTATGGGGTCTGCTTGAGTTTCTCTCTCCCTCTCCTGCCCCTCTATCCCATCTCTCTGTCTGTCTCTCTCAAATAAATAAATAAATCTTTAAAAGAAAGAAACAAAGAAAGAAGGAAATGAACAAGGAGAAAAAGATATAAAAATTAAAGGATATGCTCCTTTGTCACAGGATGACTAGAAATGCACCACAGGCTTTTTAATTCCAGAAAAAGAAAATAAAACCCATGATTAAGAGGTGGTTTGGGGCTCTTTCCGGGTAAACAGGAAAGGATAAAACAGCACATTTACTGCAAAGGGTATATCCCGTTGAGTCCGTTAAGTGTCTGCTTTTGTCGCTGTCCACAAAAAAAATCTGTTAGCCAAAATTAACAGTTCTTTACCATTTTAAGTTATGTAGTTATTCAGGGTGGAAAAAAAATCAAATGGTTTCTTTGCTTTTGTCCCTCTTACGTCCTGTTCTGATTTTTTTTTTCTCTTGGGGGCATGTTCTTTCTTCCTCCCCTTTTCTCTTTCTTCTCTGGCTCCAGTTTTCTTCTCCCCTCACTGCCATTCCATACATCCAAGCATATTTTGCCTATAGATGTACCCAAATACATTTTGTGCTGCTAGAGTCTTTTAATTCTGTGGTTATTAGTGTGGCCAGTGTAGACAGTCCTAATTATATACAATGAGGTAACAGCCCAACTGAAGTCAGAAATCTCCATGCCTGTACTTCTGGCCTTTTGTTCTGCTGCCCTTCCCCAGGCTATTGCTCATCTTTTCGGTGAGGCAAAGGATGACTCATTTCACACAGAGTGAGTTGCTCAGAATATTACACAGCTAAGAATGGATGATCTCCAAACTTCAGAATGACCATTTTTATGTGAATGGTTTTGATGATAAATTATTTTTTTATTATTGCTTATAAAATGAAAAACTTTTATACCTTGTTATTTCAGGGGAAGTCAGCTTTGTGGTCACATTTAATTCAGTTTCAGGACAGAGAAGAGAAGCAAGAGCACCTTGCAGAATCTCCAGGTGAGAGTTTGTTAGATTATTTCTACAGAACTGGCAGCATTAGACCACGTGAAGAAACAGTACCATGTTTTGTCTTTAAATCTCTCTCAGGCTGAAACTTACCCACTTTGCCAGTAATGGGATAAAGTAGAAGAAGCAAAATAAATTACTAGCTGTGAGATGTGAGAAAAGTCGCTCGACCTTTCTGACCCTCAGCTTCCTCATCCATAAGACAGGGAAAATAATGTTAAACTATGTAAAACTATAATGCTGACTAAGTAAGATAACATGTGGAAACCCCTAATGAATTGTAAAGGTTCATACAAGTATACCTTGTATTAGTGTTAGAGTGTAGTGTATACTGGGGTTTTTTTCTTAAAGAAGTTTTACAACCATCATTAATAATATATATATATATATATATATATATATATATATATGTCTCAAAAGTCTTCAGGAGTCAGATTTCTTCAGTTTATAGCAAGACATCACATAAATAGAAGTGTTATTATACTTCAGCTCATTAGAGTTATGTGGGGTTCCTAGATGTTCTGCCTTCCATGTATTTTTCTTTATATAAAATAACAATCTGTTTCACAAAAAGTAGTAGTAATGGTGGAAAGCTAGTAGATAAAAAATGTTTTATACTGAATCAGCAATTTGGGAACCATTTCTAAAATTGTGCATAATTTTAGGTATTCAGAAATGTAAAAAAAATAATACTTAAAAGCCAACCACCAGCTTAAGAAAGCATTGCAAATATGATTGAAGCATACCCTATTTCCATTCCCCTCATTGCAATACTACCCTAAATGTGGTGTTGATTGTTGGAAACCTAGTTTTTAAAGGTATTTACTGAGACAGCTAGAAATATGAACTTGATACTGCATTAACCTGAAGTTCCACTAAACAGAATGTCAAGGTTCTGATGTCCCAAGATATAACTATATTTGTAAAAATTGAAATCAAGTTTAAAAGCACTCTGTAGTAACCATCTCCTTTGCCCCTTTTTCTCTTGAAAAAAGTAAAAATGCGTTGGTGTATGCCCTGAAACTATCTCTAACACTTAGCTGTGTTCATAGAAAATTTAGCTCTTCAGATCATAAGACCATAACCCAGATAGCTTACCCTAATTAGAAAAAATAAATTTCTAGGAAGAAGTAGCTATTTGTAGGGATGAAACATTGGAAAACCAAGCTTACTTAAGTAAGGCAGGGAGATGGAAGTATTTGGCTCTTTCACCAAAGATGGCATGCAGCATGTCCAGCTGTTAAGGCGAGCAGCTGCCAGGCAACACCAGCATCTTCATGGCTCTGGCTGGTCAAATGTTGGGTGGTTGAGGTGGCGACCAGAGACTCAGCTGTTTGCAGTTCCCTTTTATTAGTCAGTAGAGGGATCAGCAAAACTCTGAAGTCAAGGCTAAGAAGTATCAAATATGTCAAAGCTTCATGCAGTCACTTATTTGTGCTGCACTATCAAGTGTTGATGAAGGGCTAGTGAGAATACAGTAAACACATGATGTATGAACAACAGGCTGAATATTTTACTGATCCTAAGTAGGATTAATGTAAGCCATGTAGCTTTTGAAGTCAAATTTACTGTCTGTTAGGAAGAGTGGATTTTATTATAAATATTGCCCTAACACTTCTGATGATTCAGCCCACAAAGTTAGGATTCTTTAAATATGACAGTATGAAATATTAAAACATTAGCTTAAAAATAAAATACTTCATTATTGAGAAGCAATGTGTCTAATTATATAGAAATTAGCAGTTTATTGATTTTTCTGCTTTTAAATCTGGGTGGGTTGGTTTTTTTGTTTTTTTGGTTTTTTTCCAAAAAATACTTCTGTTTACCAACTGTTAAGCATCCTAATTAATGGAAATAAAGTCTGCATTTTCCTATCAAGGAGAGATCCTCTGTGTGCTTAGAAATTCACAGTAGGTTTGAACACTGCTGTTACTAACATTGAGCCAGGATGAGATTTGGGGATAGATCATTACTCTTCCTTCTGAAGCAACACAAAACACGAGTCAGAGATATTTTAAGGGTTGTAGAAGAAAGGGAAAAGTCTGTCTTAACAAGAAGACCATAGCAGGTAGATTACCTTAATTTCTTTTAATGGACTTTATTTTTTAGAACAGTATTATGTTCGTGGCAAGATTGAGCAGACAGTACAGAGATTTCCCATATACTTGCCCATATATGCATAGCCTCCCTCATATCAAAGTGGTGTACCAAAGTGGTACGTTTCTTATAGTTGATGAACATTGACACATCATCACCCAGAGCCCATAGTTTACATTAGGGTTCACTCTTGGTATTGTACCTTCTGTGGATTTAAACAAATGTATAGTGGTGTGGATTCACCGTTATAGTATCAGTGTAGTTTTTGCCACCCTAGTAATACTCTCTGTGCTCCACTTATTTATCCATGTCTTTCCCCTAATCATTGGCAACCACTGGCCTTTTTACTGTCTCCATAGTTTTGCTATTTCCAGAATGTCGTATAGTTAAGAATCATGTAGTATGTAGCCTTTTCACTTAGTAACACAGATTTAAGTTTCCTCCATGTCTTTCAGACTGTCTTAATTTTGACCCAGTCAAATTTTGACCAAGTCACTGCATCTAGAAGTTCACAGTCCTATTGCAGAGACAAGATCTCAAAATGCAGTTGATCCTAGAAAGAAGACTGTTCTTGACATATTACCCAGAAGTTTGTCTTAAAAGTGTTGGCCAGCTTAGACATAGGTGGTGTTCTTAAACCTTGCATCTTTGGACAAGATTCCACTAAACTTTAAATAGATTTTTAAATCAGTTGGCAGGGAGTGGAGTAGGATGCAGGAGGGAGTGGAAATACTGCTTTTAAATGTTATTCTGGGTCTAGCCCAAGAATTTGAGATATTCTTCAATTATCTTCATCAAAATTTTTCTATTAGAGGGGTGCCTGGCTGGCTTAGTCAGTTAAGCATCTCCCTTCAACTCAGGTCATGATCTCAGGGTCCTGGAATTGAGTTCCTAGTCTAGCAGGCTCCCTGTTCAGTGGGGAGTGTGCATCTCCCTCTGGAACGCCCCCCTCAATCGGCTCACTTGCACACTCTCTCTCTCTCTCAAATAAAATTTTTTTTCTCTTGGGGTGCCTAGCATTCAGTAGAGTGTGCAGCTCTTGATCTCAGGGTCCTGAGTTCAAGCCCCACATTGGACGTAGAACTCCCTTTACAAAAAGTTTTTCTTTACTTACCAGCCTATAGACTGTAGATAATTCTATAAAAACAATACATACAGTGTCTGTGCTCTGCAAACTTGCTGCCTCTGTAGCAGCTTTGATTCACGCAGACACACAAAAAGAATTCCTGTGGCTAAATATTAAATCCACAAATGTTTATATTGAAGAGAAAGTGGCCTATTACATTTAAGTTTGTTGAAATGAGAAGTAGAAATATATGTATACATTTAAATAGTGTATAGGTTTCTCTTCTGGAGTAGACTTCATATAAATTTCTCTTTTGGAGTAGACTTCATGGAAACCTTAGAATTTAGATCTCTAAGTGAAATGTATGGCTTCCCTCACTTCAACTGCTTTGGGCTCACAGACTTCTGAATTGTTCCCTCCAGAGTCACTAATAAATTACTGTATTGGTTTCCTGGGGCTGCCATAATAAAGTACCATAAACTGGGTGGCTTACACAACAGAAATTTATTGTCACACAGTTCCGGAGGCTAGAAGTCTAAAATCAAAGTGTCAGCAAGGGTGGTCCTTTCTGAGGAAAGGAGAATCTGTCCCATGCTCCCCTCCTAGCTTCTGGTCATCTCAGAAATTCCTTGGCCCTTAAATGTCATATTCCAAGTATCTTTACATCATCTTTTCTCTACTTGTGTCTATCTTTGTATCCACATTTCCCTTTTATAAGGTCATCTACCAGTCATACTGGATTAAGGTACACCTTAATGACCTCATCTTAACTTGATCATCTGCAGAGACCCTATTTCCGAATAAGGTCAAATTCACAGGTCCTGAGAAATGGAACTTCTCTGTCTTCTTGAGGGGCATAATTCAAACCATAATATAACTACTATTGCCTACCTCCCATGTCATCCTCCAACTTTCTGGTTAGCAGATTATTCACAAATCTCTTTCTCCGGCCCTAGTTCCTGCACATCCATTTGTGGTGTCCAGTGGGACGTCAAACTCACCAAATTTGAATACAAACTAATTATCTCAGTACCTCTCCCTCTGTCCCTCTTAGGCTTTCTCCCTTCTCTCCGCATTATTTAATGGCATCAGTACTCTTCTCTCAGTCAAGCTTCAAAGCTAGAAAGTCATTTGTAATATAACAGAAAGCCCAGTGGACATGACATCAGAACACTCTGTCCCTTTTGATGAACGTGTACAACTGGGCGGGTTTCTTGACCTCTTTGAGGCTTGGCTTCTTCATTTGCAACATTAAGATGAACAGATCCAAAGGAAAGTAATAATTCAATGAGATAATGTTTATTAAATCATTTCATATTCATACTTGTTTTTGAGTCTTGCTCACTTTCTACATCAAGTCATTAAGTTCTGGGGTTTTTTTTCACTGCATATTTCTCCTCTTTGTTCTCCCTGGCTGCCATGGTCTTAGTTCATCCATAAGCTGGCCTGTGAAATAACTTCTAGCTCATCTCCCTTATTTCTCTAGTTAACTAATTTCTTTAGTTAACTAACTAAAAAAGCACTCAGGAGCATAGCATTCTTTTCAGAATCCTTCCTGCCATCCTAGGAGTACTGCAGATTTCTAATTTGTCATTTAAGGCTCCACCATCTGGCCCTGAATAATCTTATCTTCCTCCATGAGTGTTTGTTGAGCACATATGTAGTGTGTGGTCCCCACCAGGCCCTGTAGGTATTCTTTTTTTTTTTTTTTCCCCTGTAGGTATTCTAAGAAAAGGATATGACTGAGCTTCAAGAGACATACAGTTTAATAGTAACAGAAATGTTAAATTATGCTAAGGTTATATTATGTGTTCAGTTTCACAGGTCCTATTAGAGGGAGCAACATCTAAAAGTGTACCTTGGGAAGGGAGAATATTTAGGAAAGATTGCACAAAGAGGCAAAACTAAAGCTAAGTTTCATTTTATTTTATTTATTGACAACTTACTTGGAGCCAGGCAGTATTCTTAAATGCTTTGCATCTATTTGAATAAGGTAGGTATTGCTACTGACCCCAATTTGCAGATGAGAAAACAGACCCTGGAGAAGTTAAGTTACTCACCCAAAGTTGTTGAGCTGTTAAGTTCTCTGTAGGGTTTGAGAAAGCCGTGTCCTTAACTATTAAGCTAAAGTGCTCTCAATCTAAAATGGCTAAATAGGCTGTAAACAAGGAGAAAGATACAGAAGTGTTAAAGGATGAGCTAAAGACTTCAACCAGTCGCATGGAGACATAAAAAGTATATCATATGGGGGTCCCTAGGTGGCTCAGGTGGTTAAGGGGCTACCTTCAGCTCAGACCTGGGATCAAGTTACCCATCACAGGACTCCTTGCTCAGCAGGGAGCCTGCTTCTCCCTCTGTCTGCCTGCCTCTCTGGCAAGTAAATAAATAAAATCTTTTTAAAAAGGTTTTTAAAGAAGTACATCATATGTTTAAGAAACAGTGATCATCAAAGAGTGGAGAAAATAGGGTTCCAAAATAGAATGCCGGGAAGATGCTTGGGCCTGTGAGTGCTCTTACTGTGGGTGCTACTGCTCTTTAAATGACAGGCCCCTTTTTTATTAAGCCTCTTGCCTGCTCTCTGCTTCCAGAGGCATGATTACTTCTTGTTGTCATGTCTCCCTCTAGCCACATTGCTGATTATGGTTTCAGTTCCTTTCACCTGCCTCATGATTTTTTTTTTCTCTTTTCCACCTATTTCTTACCACTGATGTGGCCCTCTTTTATGCTATCTAGTCATCTGGAGTGTAGAAGCGTTCTCTACTATTTCACTTTCTCCTCAGAAAGAGAGGTCTGCTTTCATTAACAACATACTTCAATGGTGAGAGTCTTAGACAGGAAGACTAACATAGCACATTCTCCACAAGCCACTGGAACAGTTTCCTTGGTGTCTGTTACCTCCTGGGTACCAAGATAATCAAGATAAAGCCGTGTTTTTGGTGACCCATTGAAAACTCCATGGCCTATTTATCACCCACCTGGTGTGGAAGGCCCTCAAAAGAACTGCCTCTAGGTTGGCCTGGCCACAGTCTCTTTGTCCTGGCAGCCCTATCAGTGCTCATTCATACCTGCTAAGTATCAGACCAGCCACTTTCACCAGGTGCCGAAACACAGGAGACATGTAGATCCTAAGACCCCAGAATGTTCAGTGTCAGCTTCACAGACCTGTGTGTTTCCGCACTGGACCATAGCCTCTCCAAAGCTGAATGGATCTAAAAACTGAGAAAATGTATGTTTACCATACAGTAAAGCCCACAACTTAAATTCTAATGTTATCAGTGTATTTGCAAAGTGTGATGTTGCAATTTCCTTTTCGTTCACAGATAGGAAAATGGAGATAAAGGGCCCAGGACTCCACAGCGTCCCATTTAAAGTGAGATGGAGCACTCCCAACTGCAATACATTAGCCAACAAATGATTGCTTAGCTATGGCTGTATAAGGGAACAATCTTTCCTTCTTTTATAAATGTTAACCATTCAAGCTCCAAAGAGAATGATTCACAGACATTATACTTCTTAATGTCCATTTAGATTACTCACTTTGCATGATACACTGTACTTTGGATTCTGAACTTTGAAGTAGAAACTTACCAGACCAAAGAGTACCAGACTCTTAAGATTTTCCATTTTAAGCACTCTTTCACGGTGAAGGAAATTATGTGATTGCAGTTCATGAGCCCAGAGATAATTGACATACTTAGTAACTTAATTTATAGACATTGCTTTCTTATAGTTACCCAGAACTATTAGAATGAGTAAGTTTAGAAAATGATTGGTCTTCATGGCCAGACTTTGCACCCAATGCATTATTTGCTAAATGGGCTTTTATGACTCATTTTAAATTTGCAAATGCACCCTCAGATTAATACAGCTTTTACTGTATTAATAAAGGAGCACCATTCAGATGGGAAAAAATGAGCTTAGTTCTTATCAAAGTAAATTGAAAATATAAAATAAATTTATTTATAGAATGTGAACCATGTAGTTTTTTGGGTTTTTTTTTGTCCTTGCTATTATTTTTCTAATACTTTGCTGATATTTTTTTTATATAGTTGCCCTTGGACCAGAAAGAAGAAAATCTGACTCAGGAGTTATGTTGCCAACACTCAGGGTCTCTCTTATCCAAGACATGAGGTATATATGCTGGCATTTGATGATAACTGTCAAATATTTATGGCTTTCATTACATTACTCAAATGATTATGGCTATGTGTATTTTTTGCTTACGTATTCTGAGGAAAACATTTTTTATAAACTTGTTTATTTTACTTTTATACTATTATTTTTCTCCTGACATTAAATTCAAAGGGAAAATGAACTGAGAAGAGTTTTAAAGTAGTTCAATTATTTTCTAAGTTCTTTGTTCAGTTTTTAAAACCTCCTTAAATACCTGCTGCCAAAGACACCAAAAAAATAATGACAAGTTACTTGGCAGAGAAACTGCTCTTAAATAGGTTTAATTTGAAGCAAATGCAAATCTGAGAATTATCAGTTGCAATTACTGGTCTTAGAAATCACTAGAAAGCATTGAGATATCTAAAATAGATTTATTCCGGCACCTGGGTGGCTGGCTCAGTGGGTTAAAGCCTCAGGTCATGATCCCGACTCGGCTCAGGTCATGATCCCATCCTGGGATTGAGCCCCAAATCGGGCTCTCTGCTCAATGGGGAGTCTGCTTCCTCCTCTCTCTGCCTGCCTCTCCACCTACTTGTGATCTCTGTCAAATAAATAAACAAAATCTTTAAAAAAAATAAAATAAAATAGATTTATTGAATGAGGAAGACAGAGGCTTTTTTCAGCCGTTAAGTGTCTGCCTTGAGCTTGGGTGGTGATCCCAGGGTCCTGGGATAGAGCCCCACATCAGGCTCCCTGCTCGGTGTGAAGCCTGCTTCTCCCTTTCCCTCTCCCTGCTTGTCTTTCTGCTCTCACTGTCTCTCTCTGTCAAATAAATAAATAAAATCTTTAAAACAAACAAAAAATAAATAAATGTTAGTTTTTGTATTTATATCTTCAGTGTCCTTTTTCCTTATTAGACAAAATATAGTTGTTCTCAAGGAATCCTGTGATTCCTTTTGATGGCCAGCATGAGAAGAATAGTAACTATGAGAGGAAAATGATCTCTAGATCTCTTAATGGAAAAATGAAACAATATGTATTCTACAGTGATTTCATAGTAGATCCAGACTTCTAAAACTTAATTAGGAGATGGTCACATGACATAAGGCTCTGACCTCAGGCTCTGGAACCAGCCTACAGAGGTTGCTGTTTGAGCTCTGTCATGCAGTAGCTCCATATCCCCAATTACTTATACTCCCAGTTTTCTCACCTGTAAAATGGGATAGTAACAGTCTTTCTCTCAAAAGGTTAGTGTAAAGATTCAATGAGGGACACTAGGTGGCTCACTTAAGTTAACACAGTTAAGTGTCTGACACTTGGTTTCACCTCAGGTGGTGATCTCAGGGTTGTGAGATTGAGCCTCCTGTTGAGGCCCAGTATGCAGTCTGCTTGTCCCTCTTCCTCCCCCTTTGCTGCTCGCCTGACCTGTGCAAGCACGCTCTCTCGCTCTCTCTCTCTCTCTCTCTTTCAGTCTGTCTTTCTAAAATAAATTTTAAAATCTTAAAAAAAAAAAGGTAAAATAAAATAAAAATATTCAATGGACATTGGGGAGGGTATGTGCTATGGTGAGTGCTGTGAAGTGTGTAAACCTGGCGATTCACAGACCTGTACCCCTGGGGATAAAAAGATATTATATGTTTATGAAAAATAAAATTAAAAAAAAAAATAAAAATAAAAATATTCAGTGAGGTAGTAAATGTAAAGAACCCAAAATAGGCCTAGAAACAAATGCGGGTATACTTACACATGTATATGTGTGTCTGTGTGTTTATATTTATTGTTTCTAACTTTGTTATATATTTTCTATATACCACACAGACCATTCTTTTTATTTTATTATTTTTTTAAGATTTTATTTTTTTGTTTGTGAGAGAGCAAGTGAGAAAGAGCATGAACAGAGGGGAGAGGGAGAAGCAGGATCCCCACAGAGCAAGGAGCCCAACACAGGCTCAACCACAGGACCCTGAGATCATGACCTGAGCCTAAGGCAGACACTTAACCAACTGAGCCACACAGGCACCCCAGACAATTCTTTTTAAACCATGAATTCATAGTGATATCTAGGATTCCAATTCAATACCACAGGGACCATTCAGGCCTTCTTACTTGTTTTTTGGTGTTTGTTTTTTTTTAAGATTTTATTTATTTATTTGACAGAGACACAGTGAGAGGGAACATAAGCAGGGGGAGTGGGAGAGGGAGAAGCAAGCCTGGGAGCCCCAGTGGGGGGCTTCATCCCAGAACCCTAGGATCATACCTGAGCCAAAGACAAATGCTTAAGAACTGAGCCACCCACGTGCCCCTAGCCTTCTTATTTGTAATTTCTTTCTCCCATCATGAGAAACTTGGCTTTCATTATCTACACTATATTTACTTATTTGTGCAATCCTAGTATATCCATAAGAGTTTCAGAATTAGGGACTCCTGAGTGGCTCAGTTGGTTAAGCCGCTGCCTTCGGCTCGGGTCATGATCCCAGCGTCCTGGGATCGAGTCCCACATCGGGCTCCTTGCTCGGCGGGGAGCCTGCTTCTCCCTCTGCCTCTGCTGCCACTCTGTCTGCCTGTTCTCTCTCTCTCACTCCCCGGCAAATAAATAAATAAAATCTTTAAAAAAAAAAAAAAAAAAGCAATAATTAAAAAAAAAAAAAAAAGAGTTTCAGAATTACTAACCTATACCCCTGTAAGAAGCAGAAACAAGTTTACTAAATTAGTATAGTGTGTGTATACTGTTCTAGTTTTCTGTGTTTAGCTTTTCAGCATCCAGTCAAAATACTGATTTCCAAAATTCAGATTTTTTTTTCTCCTCTATCTTCAGCGTGGTTATATTACTCATTTGTAATACAGTTAGGTTCATTTGTTAATCTGTATTCCATTTTTGTTCTCCTTATATTCTGGTTGTTTTTGTTTTTAATGTAGGTGCAGTAAAATTCATACTTTCTTAGTGTGTAGTTCTGTGCATTTTCACAAATGCACAGTCATGATACAGAATAGTTCCATCACCCCAGAATTCCCTTGTGCTACTTCTTGAGTCATTCCTTCCCCCCAGTTTCCTACCCCTGTCAATCACTGATATATTTCCAAACTCTTTCCACCGAGAAGGCCTAAATGTAGTAATCCCCTAAAATAGCAGTGAGTACACCTAGCACCCACATACTGGTTTCTAAATACCATCCTCCAATGAAAGGAATCAGGGATCCCCAGAGCAGTGACTGATTCCAGGACTGGGGAATGGAAAATACTGGATGAGCCTAGTGAATATTCAGTGTCAAAAAGTAAGAAAGTGCTCAGAAAGAAGGGCATCATATATTAAAGACACAGGAGCCAGCCTAAAAGAGCTCCCAGTGGCTAAAGCTGAAGCAGTTCGAGCAACATAATAACTAACAGTACTGGCACATATTCCGTACAGTAAAATAAATATCCATGAGTCTATTATGATATAAAGAACTAAGTGAAAAAAACAAGAGCAACAGGGTAGCTTTTTTTTTTTTTAAGATTTTATTTATTTGACAGAGAGAGAGAGAGAATACAAGCAGGGGGAGTGGGAGAGGGAGAAGTAGGCTTCCCAAGGAGCCTGATTCCCAGGATACTGGGATCATGACCTGAGCCGAAGGCAGATATTTAACGATTGAGCCACCCAGGTGCCCCAGGATAGCTCTTTCATACAGAAACCTCCAATTAATAAATGTAGGAGAATGAATTAGAAAAACTTATGGTTGAAAGCTTAAGGTGAAACCAGGATGTTTGCATAATCTCAAAGTATCTCTGCCAAGAATTTAATAATTAAAAGGAAAAAATAATCTTACAGTAGAGAAACCCAGCAGGCACCACCTTAACCAAGTGATCAAGATTAACATCACTAGTAATAAGACATAACATCATGTACCCCCTGCTGTGATACACTGAAAAGAGTATATCACTTCTGTAGATACTTGTCATAAATGTATAACTACAATCTAACCATAGGAATACATCAGAAATATCCAAACTGAGGAATACTCCACCTAATAATTGACCAATACTCTTCAAAAATGCCAATGTCATGAAAAATGGGGAAAGGCTAGGGAACTGTCATAGACTGGAGAAGACTAAAATGACAGCCAAATGCAGTGTGGGATCCTGGATTAGATCCTGGAAGACAAAAAGGACATAAGGGGGAAAACTGGTGAAATCAGTCTATAGTTCAGTTAATAGTATTGTACCAATATTGATGTCTTAGTTTGGTTATATATGATGTTAGCATTAGGGGAAGCTGTGAATATAGGAACTCTCCGTACTATTTTTACAACATTTTTGTGAAACTAATTATTTAAAAAAGAAGGATAAACTCTATGTAGTGTGTGTGTTTCAACCAGGTCCTACAAAGGAGATGTATAGGGACTGTTTTTAATATATAGGCATAGATAGCATATTGTTACCTAAGGGTACAGTTCTTGATACACCTGCTGCTCATCTATTCCACTGAATGTTTGATCAATGAACTGTCACGTCTCTAGTCTAAGCCCTATAATTTCTCGCCTGGATTATGTCACAGTTCCCAGTTGCTTGCCTTACTGTAATTCATCCTCCCTATAGGTAGTATGGTAATCTTAGAATAAAATCCAAATCCCTTGGGCTGCCTGTGTGGCTCAGCTGTTGAAGTGTCTGCCTTCAGCTCAGATCATGATCTCAGGGTCCTGGGATGGAGCCCTGCATCAGGCTCCCTGCTAAGGGGGGGCCTGCTTCTCTCTCTCCCTTTGCCCCTTCCCCTCCTTGTGCTCGCTCACTCGCTCACTCTCTCTCACAGTCTCTCAAATAAATAAAATCTTTAAAAAAAAAACAACAAAAAACCCAACTCCAAATCCCTTGCCTGGTTGGCAGAGCCTACTTGATTTGATAGTGATATCTTCTACCATCCTCCCTCATACCACTTCTTTGGTTCCTCCTTGCTTCCTGCTGTGGAGCTTTTTTCTACCTATTCCCTTCACCTGATAGCTTTCCTCTGACACCTGCCCCAGAAAAATTTCCACAGGCCAACCTCC